TTTAAAAAAAGTAGATATAATTATCGCAGGCTACGCGGTACCCATGTGATTAGTGATTGGGTACGTGTTGATTGAATGTCGTGATCTAATTAATGGTAATCCATATTGAATGATCACGATTTAATTAAAAGTCTAAAATAGTGATTGCATGAGCAATGTAGTAAATCATTAGCGATTAGTAATAAATATAAGGCATTGATCCAAATGGGGAAGCGCCTAACTTTCGTTCTTAGTGAATAAACCTTTGTTATTAGTGAATAAACTGTTATCTGAGTGAATACATTATCGGTGGTAGTATCTGGTATGATACTCCAGTCATCGTGTATATTAGCCAAGCGAGTAAAGACTATTAGTAAAGATCAAGAAGTTCACGGAGTGTTGGTAAACTCCGTGACAATAATAAAAATTTTTTGGCGAAAATTTATTTAAACATTCACACAAAATTATTACTAAAAACTTGAAAGTGCTAAATTAAAAGAGCAAAACATTGAAAATAATTATATTTTTTTTAAAATAAGGAAAAAAATTTTTAATTAATGTAATCATTGCGAAAAGAAGTAATTTATTCTTTAATTGCCACCCTGATCAATAATAGAATTGGGCTCGTCCAATGGAAAATGATATTTGTATTCGTCCAATGGGATGTGATGGGGAAAATAAATAAACTCGAGAAATACTATTTTCATCGGAAAAAAATAGAATTTCTCCAATTTGTATTGCAAATGATATATATTGTTTATTGTGGCAGATTAAAATGAAATCGGATTAAAATGAAATATTATACAATGTAAAAAATAGGCATTTTTTAGGGTTAGGGTTTAGGGCTAGAGGTTAGTTTTAGGGTAGAGTTTATAATAAACAAGTATAAGTGGGTTTTAGAGGGTTATATAGAAACCCTTATTTCATTTTAATCCGATTTCATTATGATCCGCGACATTTATTACTTTAAAATTTATAATTATCACGTGAATCCGAATAATTTATCAAGTGATTAATCTATTTTAACCAATTATCTATGATTTTGGATATACAAGATACTTTTATGGATGGGAGCATTGTTAGGATGCGATGTATAATTGCGATCCAATTGTTTGGGACGACCAAATCAGGTAACTATTAACATCAAACGAAGTTAAGAACGTGTGATGCTAATAATCACATGGTTTGGACCATCTCAGCAGTTTAGACGACAACTATATGTACAAGCACATTGTAGTTTAAATATTTCAATTTTTGAAAAAAATTGGCACAACAATTTTAAAGTCAAGTAGCCAAATTTGTTATTAAACCAGATTATTTAAGGAATATCAGTTATTAAACCAGATTATTTAAGGGATATCAGTTATTATTAAAATAAAAAAAAAATCAACTAATTTTTTTCACTAAAAATATATTAGAAAAAAAATATTAAGAATTTAAAATATTAAATTAATATAGAGTAAGGATTCACTTGTATAATATTAATTATCCAATTATTTTAAAATATTTAGAGTTAACAGCACTCTTTTCCATAAATATTTGTTGATCGATATCCAGATCATCTGGATCCAAGCTTTTTAATATTGAAATGCTTTTTTTTTTTTTAAAAAAAAAAAAAGATTAACGTTAGACGTAAAATGTATATTTGCAAGATAACGGATACAAAAAGGATTTATGTATAATCCTTATATTTAAGGACAAATAATGATATTCCACCCCTAGATAACGGTATATGCTATTTTTATAATTTTACAATCATTGATTTTCCAATTTGACAATCAATCATGCGGGAATTTCCGATTTATTTGTCGTCACAACTTTCTCATCGATATTTTTAGAATCATAATTAGTTTCCTTTAAATTTAATACTACGGGAAAAGCAAAAGGAATTGAGATTGCTAGCAAAGCCCAACAAATAATAAGTTGGATAAGATAGGAAGTTCCAACAGCATCAATTCTCCAGGATATCGCACCGCCTGCAGATTGAACTGCCTTATAATAACTGTAATTAAAAATAATGCAAAAATATGAATATATATAATGAACATTGATCGCAATACAGAAAGAAATTTAGCAATTTTAATATTACCCGGCATATCTTGCCAATACATTAGTATCGTTAGTAAGAGCGCCCATGATCCAATATGCATAACACTGATATTAAAAATAAATAAATTAATATAAATTAATATAATATAAATTATACAATATAATATGAGATAATATAAAAGGGACAGGTGTTACCTGATACATGGCATCATATAGACCATATAAAATAAACAGTAGTATCCTTGGAAAATAACCAGAATCATATAGATCCATATTAACGGGACTATCTTCACGTTTATAAGTAAGTTGAAAAAAGAGACCACCAAT